AATCTCGGTTAAATTCGTTTTCTTGAGGAACCGCCGCGGCTGGCGGCGCGGCGACGACGGCAGCGCGGTGGCGGCTTATCCACGGGTTATATTGTTAGAGCAAGCGAGATAGCAATAGTCCCGAATTCCCAATTGCTCGCGTAGGTAGATACACGAAGCTTCCAGAGTCGGTTTTGTGATTTCTCCAGACAGTTTTCGACTCTATACGTGCGGTATAAAAGCCACGCTAACCGCAGCGACCGACAGTTCGGTTTTAATTTGAGTGACGTGTCAATAGTTCTAGTGTAGATTTTAACTCGACTAGCCGGTGTCATATATTTTGATCCACATTCAACATAGATTTCCAGTCAAGTGCCGTGTATAATTGTGTTGTGAAATCGTAAGTAAAACTTTGTTATTAATAAGTGTTTCCCTACCTATTCAATCAATTATTTTTGGTAATTTAAAAAAAGGATGGGTAATTTAAGTACTGTAATTGTTTTTAGGTGCTGTGTTAATCCTAGCCAGGATTAGAACGCAACATGGACAAGCCAGGACCTAGTAAAAAACGTTAAAGATGAAAATCGGCACTTTCATGAAATTTGGACTGAGAAATACTTTTTTTATATGGTCGCATAACAAAGTCGTTTGTTTAATTTGCAGGAATTCTGTTGCGATTACAAAGGAATATAATGTAAAAAGGCACTATGAAACGCAGCATCCTACTTTTACCAAGTTTACAGGCGAATTAAGAAAGCAAAAAATGTTGTCTTTAAAACGGGAGCTTATTGGTCAGCAAGCTATGTTTACAAAGCCCATTCAAGATTCAGAAACAACTACAAAAGTTAGTTATGAAATTTCTCGAATGATAGAAAAGGAAGCGCCCCTTCAATGATGGGGATTTTGTAAAAGAATGCATAGAAATTGCCGCTAAGAAAATGTGTCCAGAAGCAGCAAAAAAGTATGAGAAAATTCAACTGAATCATATGACTATCCAAATACGAATTACGTCTTTGTCAGGTAATATTGCGGAACAATTAAATAAAAAAAACTAAGATCATTGAATTTTTTTCATTAGTACTCGACGAATCTACTGATATTAGTTCCACAGCTCAACTTCTGATATTCATACGAGGTGTTACTCAAGATTTTGAAGTCTTAAAAGAGTTATTAGGAATGTGTTCATTGAAAGGTCAAACCAGAGGAGTTGATATACTCAATGTACTTTTGGATGAGTGTTCAAAAACTGATTTGGACTTATCAAAATTTTCGGGAGTTGCGACTGACGGTGCTCCTTCGATGATTGGTGTCAATTCTGGGCTAGTTACTTTGCTGAAAAAGCATCTGCAAGAAAAAAATATAAACGCTGAAGATCTCATGCAGTTTCACTGCATTATACACCAAGAAAGTAAAGAAACAGAGGGCTGTTCTAAAAAAATTGAATTTCAAAATGTCATGAAAGTGGTAGTTTCGACTGTAAATTTCATAAAATCACGAGGACTCAATCACAGGCAATTCAAACAATTCCTTGATGACATCGAAATCGAATATGGAGATTTACTGTACACCTTACTTCTGTGGATACAGAAGTTAGGTGGCTAAGTCGTGGATTGACACTGGAACGATTTCTAAATTTAATAGAAGAAATTGGAATATTTCTGGCGGAAAAGCAAAGGGATGTCCCGGAACTTAAAAATCCTGATTGGTTGTGTGATTTGGCTTTTTTAGTTGATATTACAAATCATTTGAATGTCTTGAACACACGGCTTCAAGGCAAAAATCAACTGATATCCCAGCTCTACGCTCATGTACCATCCTTTCAATGCAAGCTCACATTTTTCAGATCGCAATTGAATTCTGGAAATTACAATCATTTTCCGAATTATAAGAAAATGGCTGAAAAATTAAACAAAACTGCGATTAATTTCAGTTATGTAGAAAAGCTAGATATTTTGATTCAATCTTTTCAAGACAGATTTTCAAAGTGAAACCTCTGTTGGACATATTCAGCAATCCTTGCACGATTTCAGTTGAAAATGCGCCAGAGTCAATGCAGTTAGAAATTATCGACATTCAAAACGACCAAGATTTACGCAACAAATTCAACGAAGGAGACTTGCTGAACTTTTACCGCTGCATTGGTAAAAATACGTACAAAGAGTTGCGCATAAACGCTCTAAAATGTTCCAGCTTATTTGGTTCTACCTATATATGTGAACAAAATTTTTCAATACTAAATAAAAATAAAACAAAAAATCGAAACCGCCTTCGATTTTTTGTTTTATTGAAATTAAAGTTTGTAAAATTTGAGCCAAATATAAAAATGATTGTAAGCACTATGCAGTGCCACGCTTCAAATTAATAAATTCTTTTTCAATTTTAATACATTATTATCAATTCTTTATTGCCTTTAATTACCTATACTCCTGGCGGCCCGCCATCAGTTCATAATTTGCCCGAGTGGCCCCCAGTCCTAATAAGTCTGTGCATTACTGATGTATGTCATGTTCCATTTCCAAAATAACTAAATTTGGAAGTCCCACCGTTGACAAGGTCGATCTCAGATAATTTTTTATTAACTTTAGTTTAAAAAGAATTCTCTCGCAACTTGCATTACTAACGGCAGATGTTAAAAAATCCTCAGCATAATTTTTTATTTCATTTTAATTTTAATTTTTTATTTTACTTATTTTTATTATAACAATATTTGGTAAGCCATCTTCAACTTTGGACTCAATTACGTAATTTAATAAACCCAGAAAGCTGGACTTAATAGGCCTTTTATACAGTCTGGGTCTGTTGTGCTGCAATGCACATTGACGTACGCGCTCCTGTTGGAACTCTTCTGTATTTATGTCCAAACGAGCTTGATCTAAGTTAAAATCTTCCGGTTCAATATTACTGTAAGCATTAAAAAGGCATATTTTTACGCTAGATTTTGCAGCTGTTGGAATCGATCATGAATTTAAGCAGTTACTCTGTCTACTGAAGTAAACAATGTTCGACTCAATTTTTTTTCGTACGATAACCCAAAATCAACAATTTCAACGCCAAAAATATGCACTAGGAAAACCCATAAATTTTTAGCATATCATAGAGATTCGGTCACAAATTCCTCTCGTTTTTCTCATAATAATATTATGTAAAGATGGAATTACAGGGGAGCTTTTTTCGAGAGTCATTACGAATCGTATCGCATGAAGACTCAACAACTTTTAGCCTCCCGAACAAGCCGGTTTCCGTAAAAGGCTTTGGCATCATAGACCACACATACATACCCTTCGGCAAATTGTACAGAAGACCGAAATGTACAATCTGCTACTTTGTCTTGAGTATGTGAATTATGAGATAAACTTTGATTACTGCAAAATTTCGACCGTGCTGCAATGCCTTCAGCGGTGCTAAGTTGACTGTCGGTATATCGAAGTGCTGAAGTGTTTGTACAGTAGAATAACGATGGTTATCCGAGTACAGAACCAGAGTACGAAACCTATTCAGCTGCAGAGAGGTGTAAGGTGATATAATATCCCCGAAACTCTTTACCGCTGGATTGAAAGACGTTTCAAGCAACTGGAATGAAAAGAATACGGTATTTACGTCAATGGCGAGAACATCATTCATCTTCAATTTGCTAATGATATAGTTTTTATGTCAGAATTGTTGGAGAAACAAAGCACTATGTTCAATGACCTTAATAGTGTCTCCCAACGGATTGGTCTTAAGATGAACATGGACAAAACGAAGATCATGTTTAATGTCCATGTCACACCTATGCCCGAAGTTGTTGGGAGCACTAAGCTCGAGGTAGTTGACGAGTACGTTTACCTGGGACAAATAGTCCGATTAGATAAGTCCAACTTCGACCGAGAGGTCAATCGACCGATTAATTTCCGATGGGCAGCGTTCGGTAAATTACGACACATCTTCTAGTCAGGTAAGTAGGTAGGCTCAGGTACCTCAAAACCTGAAAAATAAAGTGTACAACCAGTGCGTGTTGCCAGTGATGACCTACGGAACCAAGACGTGGTCCTTCGCTGCTGGCCGTATGAGGACGCTCAAAGTCACTCAGCGAGCTATGGAGATGGCTATACTCGGGGTTTCTCTGCGTGATAAACTTAGAAATGAGGATATCTGCAGTAGAACCAGATTGACCGACATAGCCCAACGTATTAGTAAGCTGAAGTGGCAATGGGCCGGCCATATAGCTCGAAGAACCGACAACCGTTGGGGAAAAAATGTTCTCGAGTGACAGCCTCGTACCGATAGGCGAAGTGTAGGGTAACCCCCCACTAGATGGAGTGCCGACCTAGTGAGACATGCAGGAGTCGATGGATGCAGAAAAATACTCAGGACCGTGCTTTGTGGCATAACTTGGGGGAGGCCTATGTTCAGTAGTGGACTTGTGAAGGGATGTAATTATGATGATGATGATGGTGGAAGTTATGTAACATTATTTAATCCGTTACCCTACAATGCGTGTTTATTTATTAAACAATATGGGTGTTTTTATTACATAGATTTATTGTACTACATGGGTGGTAAGTACTATATAAATTTGGAGAAAAAATTCCGTGCCTAAAGGTGGCAAAATAGATGTGGCAGTATAGATCGTTGCAGAATACATTTATCCTTAAGATAAAAAAGACAAAGGGCTAACAATGACATCAGCACTTCAAAAATCTCAGTCCACTCTTCCCGTGGCCACGGGTGCTCTAAAGTGTCTGAAACGTCGGAAAATAAAATTAAGCCCGAAGAATCTGTAAAACTAGTTTTATTTTGTAAAAGTTGACTTTAAACAGCTAAAAGTATAAAATAATTTTACATTCGGCTTTAATTTTTTATACAACTTGTCTAAGCACTGGAAGAGTATAAAATTATTTTTATATTTTATTTCCCTGAGCCGGCCTTTACTTTTATTAAAAGTTATTTTTTTAATAATGACAAGTTTCCTATCCTCCGAATTTCCTTGATACAATTCGTTTTTTGTTTATCTCCCATTATCTTGTACTACCATTTTCTAGTTTGGGATAGTATCCAATTTCCCACTGGTCAATTCTACGGAGCTCAGAATCATTTAGGTAACTTCGATCAGTGCCTGCGTAGAGAGTGGGCAAACCATGATTCAATTCTCACACAGTACTGCCTCGTTGACATCACACTGGCAGATAAGGAAGTTGACAAAAAAATTACCGACTTAAATCCATATGATAGAGCTGAAAGATATTTTCAAGTAAGTACCGGATTTTTTAGTAGTAACGTTATTTTATTACTTAAATCATAAATTGGTACACTTATATGGATAAGTTATAAACAAAATAAAAGACAAAAAAGGAAAGGTATTATTTTGTGCATGGTTGGATTTAGATGGCTCAGAGCCGTGCTTTGTTGAATCCATAAGAAAGCCCTATCTTCAGCAGTTTACTTGTGATGATCTGAAATGATGATAATGATGATGATGATGATAATGATGATGTGTATAGTGTATTACCATTCAAAAAGCAAAGCTATTTTTTCCAAAATGTTTCTAAATAACATTGTTGAATTCATCTTTTTCATTCGTTGAGGGTCAAGGTTATTATAGAAAGTGGTAGAAAGATTGCATCGCTTCTGATAGATGACGGTATAACGATCTCACTTATGCCAGACGAAAATGTCTGTCCGGCGACGAAGAGTAGCATCATATGTGGAAAACGTCTGGCACTGTAATCGCTAATCGGTTTGATACGTGTCTAGCAGTGGATTGTCGATGGGCTGAGAAATAGAAGCGAGAGAGTGGAAGAATTTTTTTAAAGACGTTACCCCACATCAGGATTTTCTCTTGTATTGTAGAGGTTACATACATACAATAAATATCAATTTCACAAGGCAAAGAAAGACCCTCATTATTATTTATAGGTTTGTATGCCTAGACTTGTTTCATCAGGAATTCGAACAGAGCAGTCAAAAAAGTGACTTCTTTTTATCTAAACTAATATGCTTCTTCTGCTAACACTAAATTATAAAATAAAATAAAAGACAAAAAAGGAAAGGTATTATTATGTGCATGAATGTTGCATTTAGATGGCTCAGAGCCGTGTTTTGTTGAATCCATAAGTAAGGCCTATCTTCAACAGTTTACTTGTGATGATCGGAAAATGGTGGTGGTGATAATGATGATGATGATGATAATGATAATGATAATGATGATGTGTATAGTGTATTACCATTCAAAAAGCAAAGCTATTTTTTCCTTAATGTATCTAAAAACATTCTTGAATTCATCTTTTTCATTCGTTGAGGGCCAAAGTTATTATAGAAAGTGGCAGAAAGATTGCATAGCTTCTGATAGATGACGGTATAACGATCTCGTTTATGCGAGACGAAAATGTCTGTCTGGCGACGAAGAGTAGCGTCGTATGTGGAAAACGTCTGGCACTGTAATCGCTAATCGGCTTGATACGTGTCTAGCAGTGAATTTTCGATAGGCTGATAAATAGAAGCAAGAGAGTGGAAGATTTTTTTAAAGAAGTTACCTCACACAAGGATTTTCTCCTGTATTGTAGAGGTAATATACATACAATTAATATAAATTTCTCAGGGCAGGGAAAGACCCTCACAATTATTTGTAGGCTTGTATGCCTAGACTTGTTTCATCAGGAATTCGAACAGAGCAGTCAAAAAAGTGACTTCTTTTTATCTAAACTAATATGCTTCTTCTGCTAACACTAATCATTATTCAAAATATAACTTAATTGTAGAATTATATTTTTACCTATGTGCATGAATATCTTTGTTGATTTTAAACTTCATCTGGATTATCAAGTTCTTGTTTCAAAATATTTTGCAGATCAAAACTGAATATAATTTAAGATTTAATATTCTGTCCTGGGGCGTGTGCATGTCAAAGACCTGCCAAGCGCAGTCAGTTGGCAGATTCGTCCGCACGTTACTAAGGATCAGTCACTTGGGAACAATCAATTCCAACCCTAAAGTTGTGGTTGGAAATTGCCAAATTACACAAACTCCACCAGCAAATAGAACAGGACTGTTACTACTCATGTAAGTATGTTTCACTTCCTTCTTTATTTATTATCCCTCTCGTTTACTTTCCTTCTTCTTCCTACCTTTATCCCAAGTTATTTAGAGTTAGCATAGCATGTATTCCAATTCCATTCCCTCTTTTAGCCGTCATCTTTTTACTCACTTCTTTCTTATGCACATCGTCCCTAACACAGTCCATCTTTTCTTAGGCTTGCTCTACCCTTATATCCATCCACTTTATAGCATATAACTCTCTTTCAATTTTATACACTCTTTTTTATATAGTTAACTTTTTTCGCATAATATGTCAAAATTAAGCCCACAAATGCGTTGTCACCGTCGAGGATTAAGATAAAATGCGTCTAAGCATGCAATTATAGTTACCGCAAATCATAGCCATTTGGCTGCTCTTCAGCTTAGCCAAACAGCCTCAACTCTTTGTAAAAATACTATTATTTTGACAACTAAGATGGCAAAATATCCAAAAAAACTTATATTTGCGTTTTAATGACAAATACTTTTAATTAATTTATTTTATAAAATATAACGGTATAATGTAAGGTAATATATACGATGTAAGATTATCTGCCACACCATATCTTCCCGTAGGTATCGTTAAAGTTGACAGATGGAAATTGAAACAGGTCATAGGCAACTCAAAATAATAAAAAACTGCGGTTGACCACTCTCTCACCAAGCGCGTTAACTATAGCAAAATCTCAAAATGAACCAATTTATGGTGGAAGCCTATGTTCACCAGCGGTTATAGGGTGTAATTGATGGTTTAATTAATTTATTTACTGAAATAAAATATTTACAATTTTACTAAATAAAATAATAGGTGTTTACCATGAAATTTGAAAAATAATAATAAAACAAAAAAAAATACAAAATAAAAAATATGAAAGTTCATACTAATGAAATTGCAGTTCTGCAGTACTAGCCATTTCAAATCGAAATAATTTTTGTTTGACAAACAATTCTAATTTCATTTCATTAATTTTATTTTAAGAACATGGAATTCTTTTTTCAAAATTAATCATTTGCTTAGTGATTATCGTTATGTTTTCATCCCATTAAAATCTTTTTCATCATGGGTACGTTAATAATTCTAATAATTATGGAATATGAGTACCGTCGTGACAGCAACGCGGCACAAGTGGCACGCAACATCAACGTTTACGGAGCGAAACTGCAAACAAACGCACCAGTTGTTATTGATTTGCCCGCTTCTGTTCTGGAAATTTCAAACAAAAAAATGAACCCCATTCATACGTGGTAGAGCCATGCTGCAGTTATATTAGAAGTATAGTTGTAGCACGAATGGGTTGGCTCGACCGGGGAAGGACCACGGTCTCACAGAATACAAGCGTGAAATAGTAGCTTAATGCTGCTGAGTTTCATATGGTGAGTGTAGAGAACCGGAGATCTTTTTTACTGAAAACAAGGCATTCCATCTTAGTCCTCACGGGTGACAATGCATCTGCGTTTTGATTCGTAAACGAGGATGGATGCAGATATCTATGGGCCACAGCAACCACTTACCATCAGGTGGACTGTGTGCTCGTTTGTCACCCTATCCTATAAAAAAAAGTTTTTATTGTTTATAATGTGATAGGCTGGAGTACATAATTAAATGTTTACAATTCAACATATCCCGTAGTGTAGTGTAATATTTACGGATAACTTAACCTGTAAACCTGTAGCAAAGTATAATGTTTCTATTCTATGATATTTTTTTTTTCATCTTAATACATTGTTGTCTTACCCTGGACTCTTAGCTTTGGGCCAGTCCAATTTTTTCCCTTCAATTTTGTATTTTTTTTAGACAATGTTCGATTAATTATTGTTACTACATACTTTTATTTAGGGTAGCTATTTTAAGAATTATGATTGATAGTTTTATAATACAAAAACTGCAAATTATTGTTTTGTGTAAGACTTAAATTATGTATATTTTAAATTGTGTAACTTTTGTTGATAAACAGTTATTATAATATACATTCAAGATGAACTTGATAACATATGTTCTGCTTAGGTTAGCCGGAGGGATTGATAAATAGAAACAATTTTTTATGCTCGTATAATTTTTTTCATTTAAACAATATTTTTTATATTTATACATATGTTAATTTTATTATATATTTAATTCATATATCTTATATATATATATATATATATATATATATATATATATATATATATATATATATATATATATATATATATAAATATATATATATATATCATCATTACAGCCCTTCACAATTCCACTGCTGAACATAGGCCTCCCCCAAGTAATGCCACAAAGCACGGTCCTGAGCCACCTGCATCCATCGACTTCCTGCATGTCTTAACAGGTCATCACTCCATAGTGGGGGGCCCTAAAATACGCGAGGTATATATATATATATATATATATATATATATATATATATATATATATATATATATATATATATATATATATATATATATTTGTCATATAATAAATAATAATAGAAGGGGAGATGGTCGATTTTGTTTCTAGTGACTGTTACCGTTAAAGTTAACTGATGAGCATAGGCGTTCCCATAAAATGTCTCATAGAAGAGATATTTGTCGTAGTTGCCACGATTGGTAAGCGGGTTGCCATCCGCAGTTTTTCACCCGCGTAAATCGCGTGTCTGAGCCACGCATTATGATACTTCGCTTACTCCCCCTCCCCTCCAAAAAAAAAACGCGTCCGCCATTTGTACTACGGGTTTTTTCCCCTCAAGGAATTCGGGACAATGGGGTACTCCCTGAGGTGCGGTGTCACAACCTGATTGTGGGCACCTGCACAATTAACTATATCGAGCCGGACGATATAATCATGATCATAATCTTTATTGCAATCAAATGGTAACAATAGATGTGGTTTTTTTTAAATAGTCCGCATTTGAACCCAGTTTGGGCATAGCAATTTCATTAATAAATAACATTATTAGATTATATTATTTTAAAATTCTGTAAATTTTAAATTTATAATCACAATGTAAAGAAAAAATATTATTATTATTATTATTAAAAAAATTAAATTAAATTAGATAGACACAGGCCGAAGTATTTCACACAAATTAAATAAAAAAAAGTAAGAAGTAGATATAAACATTGTCCCTTGGAAAGAAATCTAATAAAGTTTAAGAATCTGCGCAACGGCTGCAATCGTTTGTGTAGAGATGCTAAAGGGCGCTACTTTTATGACTCACTTTCAAATTGCAAATCAGCAAAAGCCTGGAGTTTTCTTAAAACGGTTGGCATTGGCAAACACCCTGCGCTTGGGACTGGAAATCTTGATATAGATATTCTCAATCAATATTTTTCTCTTCCACCTGTTTTCTTATCTTCATTTATAAACGCTAAGACCCTGCTAGAATTATCCAGATACCCATTTCAACTTTCCAGCCAGTTTGAATTTGTATCAGTGTCAGAAGATGAAGTAAAGTGATCGGTGCTATCTATATCTTCTACTGCAACGGGAAACGACAAAATTTCTTCCACAATGATAACTATGATTTTACCTTGTATTTTATTTTTATCTTTACCCTTCTCTTTTATTTATCTTTCTCCTGTTTTTCACACTCGTGGAAGTTAGCACAAATTATTCCAATAGCCAAGGTTGCTAACTTCCAAATTTCGACCTATATCTATATTACCATTCCTCTCTAAAGTACTTGAACATATTGTTCACAATCAATTGTCTTCTTATCTTAATTCCAACAATATTTTAAGTATATTTCAATATGGATTCCGGCCTGGTCATAGTACAACAACTGTTCTTCTTCAATTAGCTGATGATATCCGTCGAGCCATAGATCAAAAACAATTAACAGTACTTGTTTTATTAGATTTCAGCAGTGCCTTTAATTCTGTTGACTTTAATATCTTCTTAAGAATTCTCCAGTCTATTAATGTTTCACCTTCGGCCATTCTCTGGTTTGATTGCTATCTTCGGGGACGCTCACAATGTATCCGCTCCAATGACACTTATTCCAAATGGTGTAATCTTATAACGGGCGTACCCCAAGGTACGTCTTGTCTCCTTTGCTTTTCACCGTTTTTATCAACTCTATAACAAAAAATAATATCCTCCAACTTCCATCTTTACGCAGACGATTTGCAGCTTTACCGTCACTTTGTGGCATCTGAAGCTAAACTGGCGATCGAAGCACTGAATGATGACTTGGAGAGAATTAATCGTTGGTCCAGATCACATGGTATAACTATAAATTCAAGTAGGTCTCAAGCAATAATAGTAAGTAGCAGATATACTAGTAGAATAATTGATAAATGCACCCTGCCAGATGTGATTATCAATGGCACATCAGTTGCGAGTACTGAATCTGTGAAGAACCTGGGGTTAATTATTGACAATAGGTTGTCATCGGGTCCTTACATAACGGACTTAAGCAGAAAAGTTTATTACGCTTTCCACTCGTTAAAACGACTTCAAACTTTTTTACCCTTATCAACGAAAATCTCTCTTGTTCAAACTCTTATTTTGCCTATCTTAGATTACGCTGGTATCTGTTTTTTGGATACTACAGAGGAGCAATTAAACAAACTTGAGCGATTGCAAAACCTTTACATTCGGTATATTTTCGGACTCAAGAAGTTTGACCACGTCTCTAAATTTAGAAAGCAACTCAAGTGGCTCCCGATACAATTTCGCAGGAACACTCGTATTCTATGTCTCCTTTTAACATCCTACACAGCCCAAATTTCCCTACGTACCTCCGAAATCGATTTACCTTTCTTAAATCCCCATATACAGTTTGTAGACCTAACCTTAAAACCCTCTTAAAATTCCCATCCTTTAATGCTCATTCATATTCCCATTCATTATCCGTATATGTAGTAAGACTTTGGAATTCGCTACCTACTCCCATTCGAGAAATCAAAACAGTGACATTGTTCAAAAAACGAGTGAAAGAAAATTATTTATCGCTGTCTTCTATGTAAGTCTCAAATCTTTGATATTTACTACACTGTTACAAATATATGCATGTGCGTGTGTGTTTGTATGTATGTATATATGTGTTTATTTATTTAATTATGACTTTATATTATATTAAGTATTTATGTATGTATTTATGTCTGCGTATATATTTATGTATTTGTATATATATATATGTATATATATATATATATATATATATATATATATATATATATATATATATATATATACATATACAGGGTGTTTGGTGGGTGGTCCGACAAACTGAAATGGGAGATAGATGGGTTCATTAGAAGCATATTTTCTTAGTAAATTTTTTTTCTATCTCTTACCATTTTTTTTTTAATTGAATTTTTAAATTTTTTTGTAATTATCCCAATTTTCTAGTATTTTGGTTCAATAACTTCTACTATTTCTAGTTTTCTACCATGTTTTTTTATTTTCCCTAAGAAATATATTTTTTTTAAATTAAAAGAAAGATTGAAAGCCTAAAAGGCATAAGAAAAAATACTTACGACACATTGAAAGTGAACAAACGAGAAAAAAAATTGTAAGCCCTTAAGTTTCCAGCCCCTTAAAAAAATAAATAAATATGTTGAGTAATTTCAAATGGCCATAAAAAAAATTCTATTTCATCCTCTTTCTATCGGTATATCACATGTTACATAAAACTTTAAATTATCAACAAAATTATTGATAATCAAATGTGAGGACGGGGGAATTAAAATATTACAAGTTCCGTAAAAATTGCCAGGGCACCCTAAACTGGTTTTTACCCGTGTAAATATTTTTATGGTTTCATTTATGCGTGTGCGAGCCAGGTAGATGTTGTCTCTTTCTGGTGGTACAGGCGAAGTTACGACGCGCGGATCAGCTACCTGCTTCTGTTGTTATTTAATTTAGTCGTGATTTGACTGTCTCTGAAGCTACTTGCGAGTTCTTTTTCGACATTCATTGTTGAACAGTTTCGTTGAGTTTAGTTTTTGTTTCGTTGATTGTTAAGTTTTTGTTTGTTATTTGTTTCTGTTTTCGGACGGTAGTGTTCAAACTTAATTCAAAACACTGCAGTGATTATGGCTCAACGCACTTATTTTACTAACCAGGAATACGCTGATATGCTTTTGGTTTATGGCCGGGCCCTAAATAACGGCCACAGAGCACGTAGACTTTATGGAGAGCTGTATCCCACGAGAAGGTTGCCTAGCCATGATACGTTTGCGAATACTTATAGAAGGCTACGTGAAACTGGCAAATTGCAACACAGGGAACCAGGAGTACGTGGAAGACCACTTGATGTTGCTGTGGATGAGCGTATCTTGGCGGCTTTTGACGATGATCCCACTATAAGCATTAGAAAAGTAGCGACTGAACTCGGCTTTTCTGTATGGAAAGTGTGGTCGGTTCTCCGCAACCATTGCAAGCACCCATTTCACCTCACCCCAGTGCAAGGTACTTATTATTTCTTCTTTTTATAAAATTACTGTTTATCTTATACATTATTAATTATTTCATACATTTTAAAGTGAGTAAAGTAACTTACACTATTTTTTGTGCTAGGTATCGTGGAAGGAGATTTTGCACGGCGTACAGAATTTTGCAGCTTTATACTGCACAAAGATGTCGACGATAATCAATTTTTGAAGAGCATTTTATGGACCGACGAGTCGAAGTTTACACGAGAAGGCATTTTCAATCAACATAATTTACATTATTGGTCAGATAAAGATGAAAACCCACGTAAAACGAGACAAATATCGCATCAGACACGGTTTAGTGTTAACGTGTGGGCAGGTGTGATCGGAAGATATTTAATCGGTCCTCATTATCTACCTGATAATTTAAACGGAGATAATTATTTACATTTTTTACAAAATGATCTCCCGGAACTAATGAGCGAGGTACCAATAATGAATGAGGACACAAGAATAATATTTCAAAACGATGGCTGCCCTGCCCACTATCGCAGAACCGTGAGGGAATATTTAGATGCGGTATTTCCGAACACGTGGGTAGGGAGACTCGGACCTATCGAATGGCCTGCGAGATCCCCAGATCTGACTCCACTGGATTTTTATGTCTGGGGCCGAGCAAAGGAAATTGTATACGAAAATGAAATACAAACAAAAGAAGAGTTGATTGGAAAAATAAATGCTGCTTTTCATATTATGAAAGAAGAAATACGATTAAAAACTACCACGACTGAAATACGTCGAAGATATCGAGCGTGTCTGCATAATGTAGGAGGATATTTTGAACAAAATTTGTAAATTTAGTAAAAAATTACTAGTACTTATTTTTTTATTATTATTGAGCAAGACCCTGGTTAGTGTAGTGTAGACACAACCATTAACTTTTTTTGTATTAAATACAATAATAGGCGCTCGTATGAGCTGGTAGCTGTAGCTGACCCGCGGGTCCTAAGCGGAAATATTTTAATTCCCCCCGCCCTCACATTCAATTATCAATGATTTTGTTAAATAATCTAAAGTTTTATTTGACATATGATATACCGATAGAAAGAGGGTAAATCAGGAAAGTTTTTAAGGCCATTTTAAATTACTCAACAATTTTATTTATTTTTCTGGGGCTGGAGAAAACTTAGAGGTTTACAATTATTTTTCTCGTTTGTTCACTTTCAATGTATCGTAAGTATTTTTTCTTATGCTTTTTGGGCGTTAAATCTTTTTTTTAATTATATACAAATCATTATACTTGGGAAAAATAAAAATAAATGGTAGAAAACTAGAAATAGTAGAAGTTATTGAACCAAAATACTAGAAAATTGGGATAATTACAAAAAAAATTTCAAAATTCAATTAAAAAAAAAATGGTAAGAGATGGAAAAAAAATTTACTAAGAAAATATGCTTCTAACGAACCCATCTATCTCCCATTTCAGTTTGTCGGACCACCCACCAAACACCCTGTATATATATAAGTATTTGTGTTGACGTATGTATTTATTTTATCCCCATATGTGTTGTATAATAACAAAGTGCACACCTTATAATCATTTATTAATCATATATCTTTGGAACTTTCCTACTGGAAGAAATTTCATTATGAGATAAGTAGAGCCCCTGTACAAACTTTTCATCATGATGTGTCCTCTCCCTTACTTGTGTGTACATAAATTGTTAAGTAAATAATATTTGTATCAAAATATTCATTTAAATTATAGAAACATTTTTAATTAAATATAACTTTAATTTGGATAAAAATAATGTAGTATTCGTTAAATTTTTATGTCATTTGGATGGTTAATAAAAATTTTGAAGAAGACAGTGGAGACTAGAGCTATGTAATGCAAGTGTAGATTTCGGCAATAGTAGCCTATTTCTGTTTGGTCCAATTGAGTATTTGTCATTAGTTTCACTTATTCTATATTATTTATTTCACTATTTCATTTGGTGAATACTGCTGGGTGGTTTTTCTACAAATATACATGTTTTCCAAATATAAATAGACGTCAAAGTCAAAATTTTAAACTTTTTGAAGTGGGGCTTACAACTTTCTTGAATTTTTATGTTTGCCAAGATTCTTATTTTTTTTTTTTTGCATTATAAATAATTGCTGTGCGTCTTTACTATTTCCCCACAACATGACACCGTATGACAGCCACGAAGATGTGTATGCGTAATATGCCGACAGAGCGCTGGGGACATCTGTGGTTTTCTTTATTTTTCGTAATACGTAAGTGGACTTTGATAGCTTATTTTTTACTTTATTTCTATGGGCTTTCCAGTTCATATAGTAGTCGATTTCCAGGCCTTACAAGTTGAAGTTGTCAACTTCCAAAAGCGATATTTAGTGGTGATTTTTGAACTGGTCGGAATTGCATAATTTTGGTTTTATTAAAATTAATCTCAAGGTTGTAATGTGTCAGCCTATTTGTAACCTGGTTCAATACTTGATTCAATTTATTATTTAAATTCTGGTATTTTGTATGCGGAATAAGAATGGAAATGTCATCAGCAAATATAATGGAGGTTTCAGTCAATACAGGTAGTTCGTTTATATAAATAATAAATAGCAAACATCCCAAAACACTGCCCTGGGGAATGGAACAAGTAGTGTGGATTGCTTTAGATCTTACGTTGCATATTTCGCCAGTGTCATGGCTATAATGCACTATCTCTCCATATTGTTTACGGTTTTATAGGTAAGACTTAAATCATTTGTATGCCGTATCTCGTATACCGATGTCATATAGCTTCTGTAACAGTATTGGGTATTGTACTCTATTATAGAACTTTTTGTATACTGCCAGTATAGTTGACCGTTTCTTTCTAAAGATATTTTGTGAATTATCAAATAGTTTTTTCGTGCTTTCACTGGGGCGTTCCCTGCTGGTTTCTTCAGAGCCTCATCGGGTGACTTGGGTTATGCGTCGTTCGAGCGCCAAACTGAGTATTGAATTACTTTAATGTTTCATTATCTCTTAAATTATGCTTATCGGATAAAGCATTATGGGAAGCATTTTACATTAGATAGCATATATTATTCCTCTTGAATCTGACTATAATTTACAAAAAGCATTTTTTAAGTCGGATTGATAGTGCAAATTGTTGCTTTAAAACAAACAAAAAACCTACTTCGCTTTTTTACATTAAGTATATATAGATTCATGACTTAAAGTTTTGAAATATTTATGAAACGCAATAAGTAGAAAAGTTGAAAAAGTTTATTATATATCATGAACGGCGATACAACAATGAGTTTATTTTATTTTTTACTTAATATTAACACAAACAATCAAAGTTGTTTAATAAATCAATAAATAATGGATCATTAATTGTACGTTTGTTTTGGTCTGATAATATCTTTCCTTTATTTTCAGATTGGGTGCAGTTGTACTGACGGTTATTGCGTGCGCATTTACATTTTTTACAAGGAAGCATCGAGAATCAAAATCAAACCGAATTGGTAAGTTATTCTTGTCTTCATTATATTATAATTCAAGCACTTAATTCAAAATACGAAATCAAAAATAATTAAATTACTTAAAGGGTAATTTTGATAAAAATCCTGCTTAACTCTTCACGAGTTTTTGATGCATTAAGCTTCGCATTATTGTCATTATACAACACATTAATAGAGTATTTTCATCTGGTTGGGCTGAATAAATATACAAAAAATTATAGATACAAATAAATATACATTAAATAGAGTAACTTAAAAAATTTACATAAATAAATAAAACCCAACTAGATGGAAGACCTTGGTAGAGGAAACCAGACGGGCGATCGTTGGAGGTAAAGGGAAAGGAACCGGTGGATGATGCGGGTGGTATTGAGGAGCACCGCCTTCTACATTTGAGCCCGTAGCGGTCCATCACGGAGTCTCAATCGCCTCAGATGACCCGAGTTCATCCCGGTCAGCCTACCGGGATTAGCTCGTTCGCAGAGACGGACGACTACAAGAATAATTTCGGCCGGTGAACTATCACAGATATCGGTCACTTTATGAGCCAGGTCCAGATATTTGGTTGATTATCTGTTGCGTTTTAACGATGTTCTCGTCATTTTGAATAGTAATGTCGATAGAAAATATCCTTGACTGTGTCCGGTCCACCAGCCCAATAGCTGGCTTATTTGGAAGAATAATCCTGTCTGTGATGATGGCCCGCTCCCAGTAGAGCCTAGCACGGCCATTTTTGAGCACGGCTTCCGGCAAGTACTTATTATAAGACATTTTTTTAATTCATGAGACCGTATTTCAAAGCAAACTGCTGGTGTAGAATCCTGGCTACTAGGCTTTGCCTGTGTAAGAATTTACAGTTAGAAATCGCAGAAAAACCTGTGATAACACGCCTCACCGGGATGGCGACAATGTTGACATATATCGACGGTGCCATCTTTAGGATGTATTTTCGATAATTGTTGGTCTCAATAACCTGCTCCTGTATTCATCATCATCATCATTACAGTCAGTCACAAAGTCCACTGCTGAACATAGGCCTCCCCCAAGGTATGCCACAAAGCACGGTCCTGAGCCACATGCATCCATCGAGTTCCTGCATGTCTTACCAGGTCGCCACTTCATCTAGTGGGAGGCCGCCCTACACTTTACGAGGCTGCCGCTCGAGAACCTTTTTCCCCAGCGGTTGTCGGTTCTTCGAGCTATATGGCTGGCCCATTGCCACTTCAGCTTACTAATCCGTTGGGCTATGTGGGTCACTCTGGTTCCACTGCGGATATCCTCATTTCTAAATTTATCACGCATTGAAACTCAGAGCATAGTCCTCTCTATAGCTCGCTGAGCGACTTTGAGCGTCCTCATACGGCCAGCAGTGAAGGAACACGTCTCAGTTCCTTATGTCATCACTGGCAACACGCACTGGTTGTATAATTTCGTTTTCAGGTTTTGAGGTATAACTGACGAGAAGATGTAACGTGATTTTCCGAACGCTGCTCAGCCGAGTTGAATTCGTCAATTGACCTATCGGTTAAAGTTGGACTTACCTAGTCGGACTATTTGTTCCAGGTAAACGTACTCTTCAACAACTTCGAGCTTAGTGCTCCCAACAACAAACAACAAAGGTGTGACATGGACATTCAACATGATCTTTGTTTTGTCCATGTTCATCTTAAGACCCATCCGTTGGGAGGCACTATTGAGGTTATTGAGCATAGCGCTTAGGTCCTCCAGCGATTCTGCCATAAGGACTCTATCGTCGGCAAATCGAAGGTACTCGCCATTGATGTTAATACCGTATCCTTTCCAGTCCAGTAGCTTGAAAACGTCTTCCAACGCAGCGGTGAAGAGTTTCGTGGATATAACGTCACCCTGTCTTACACCTCTCTGCAGTTGGATAGGTTTCGTACTCTGGTTCTGTACTCGGATAGCCATCGTAGCCCTACTGTACAAACACTTCAGCACTTTGATATACGGACAGTCAACTTGGCAGCGCGGAAGAGACTGTAGTACCGCCTAAATTTCGACGGAACCAGTCTTTCTCATAGTCCACATACGCCAGACAAAGTGGCAGATTGTACTCGTCGGACTTCTGTACAATTTGCCGAAGGGTATGAATGTTGTCTATGGTGCTAAAGTTTTTTCGGAAACCGACTTGTTCGAGAGGCTGGAAGTCGTCGAGTCTGCGTGTGAGATGATTCATAAAGACTCTCGAAAACAGCACGTAGATGCGGCTCAGAAGGGATATCGGTCTGTAGTTCTTCAAGAGGGTGTTGTCACCTTTCCTGAAGTACAAGATCACCGCATTTCTGCTCCACGCATCGGGAGTAGTGCCACCATAGAGGACGGAATTAAAGAGCTTCTGAAGGACTTCAAGTACCGGTGTTCCACCCGCTTTCAGAAGCTCCGCTGTAATTCCATCCTCGCCTGGGGCCCTGCCGTTTTTAAGGTGCTGGAGAGCCATTCTAATCTCGCTCAGACTGACGTCCGGAATATCATCGGAATAGTGTCGGATAAGACTTACTATTGGATTGTTACTCACATTTGCGTATGGCTCCAACGATGATGTATACAGCTGCCCATAGAACCTCTCAATCTCACTCAAAATCTCAGGTGTCCATCACGTCAGCAGTGGCGATGCTAGGACTCCAAACTAGGGCGAGCCCAATATATGGTTTTGTTGTTTTTAGCAGTTTAAAAAAAATACACCAATCTTGAGCTGTTTCCACTCTTTAGTTTCATATTCAGTGCTGTCAAGGACGTGTTTAACAAAGCACACAAAAAGCATACTACCGCTAGATAGATTGTATGACATATGCCATTGCACACCTTCGGTGGTTTTTAAAAGAGCCGTTTGGGTTTGCTTGAGATATTTACAAACAATACTGTAATATAGGAAAGATGTCAATGAAGGAGACGAGTGGTTGGTACTAAAACTTTAATTAGACTGCTCATTATTCCCCCTTAACACTAAAGTATATTAACTTGGGAGCACTACACTACACCTCCCACCGACAAAAGAATAAAAAAATATGCTATCTATATTTTATTATCAATTCTTAAAATAGATCCTTAAGATTATTCTAAAAAAGGTTAATATTATTATGAAAACTATAATCTAAGACATATCTAGCACGCAAAAATGCATAGTCATAGTAGTATAATTGACATAATCAGGCGTAATTATGTATAACATAAAATTATGTATTGATTTTCACGAAAATTTACAATATTGTTTATTCGTATACGTTATTTATTCGTATCCTTTAGCTATTCATTACACATGTATGTCATTTCTTTCACGTACATGGCTCGCGTATATACATGATCAAGAAAATTACCAATATCATTTAATTCACTTCTTTACATTTCAGCTCATGTAATTCATTATTTAATTGTACCATAACTTTCACGTACACGGCTCGCGTACATACATGATCAAGATAGTGGACAATATTCCTATACAATTCATAACAAATTATCATTTCCCTCATTAAAATACATTAAAACTTATTCCGCATTTAATCGTGTCCGAACAAGCTTAAAAAATTAATCGGCTATTAGGTTTTCCAAACTCTCAGCTGATCAGGCTGATTGTATGTGGATATACTAACCTCCGATAATTTTCTTTATCTTACTCTCGCAACTATACATTATCAATATTTTCATTTATTATTATGTATTCCGTAACTTATCCATACATGTAATCACATCTTTATATCATAAAATAATCTCGTATAATATTTAGTTACAGTGTCAGTCAGGGATTGAGGTTCACAATATGGGAACAACAAACTTTATATCAATTAGTTGTGTATTGAGTTTCAAAATCGTATTATCCGAAGAACATACTTTCATAATCTACTCAAATTAGTACTGTTTTCCAAGAAAATAATAAATTATAATAGTTAAAAAAAATCTTACGATTTAAATATTCAAACAATATAAAACCGAAAATAAATTATTACATTTCACATTAAGATAAACAGAACAAAGAAGTCAATGTTAAGCAACGTAATCATTATAATTAATATAGCAACACACAGATCAAAATACAAATTGTAATTATAACACCGCAAATATTTGGAGACAAGAAAAAGAACAGAACAGATTACGACAGGAATTAGATATTTATAATGAGAAGATAAAGCTTTGCTAATTTTTTACCATAAAATAACGACTATTTATTATATAATTATTCATTTTCAATTTATAATAAACCGTACAAAATGACATTCAATTCATAATATACCGTACAAAATGATATTTTTAAACTCATATGGTAATATAAATATTAAATTAGCCGATAGCGTATTTGTGCCATCTAGCGTAATCTTTAGGTACGATCGTGAGAATCAACCAATTTTCGTTCGATAAAATGACTTTACCTATAGAATTAAGTAGATGGCGCTATAAAAATTTTATATACTGGAAATAACTAAAGGGAGTATTCTTTAAAAACCTCAGTACATTCTTCTGTATTTTTTTTGATTTATTACATTAAAATTTGGGCTTCACGTTGAAAAAAGATTGTAACACTTATTTCCTATAAAATTAAACCTAGGTGTCTCATATTTTATGCTGCCGTTCAAAATGATATTTTTAATTCATATGGTAATATAAATATTGAGTTATTAAACCTTTAAATACGCCTAACTTAATTAAAGTTTAATACTCAAGAGTCCTGTACCTATATTTCAAGTATGAAGAAATGTTTATTGAATATTAAATTTCATTTTTAAAGATTTTACCTTTTCCTCGCCGATTAGCACTTCAACACGCTTATATTCATCATGAGTACCATTATCCTCCCATTTTCACTGAAAATCTTTAAAAAATCATAAATTTTTAACAAACACAACAAATACAAACATAAACATTGAAATGTGAAGTGACTTGCATACGAATGGCACGCACCCCATTCGCTAGTCGCTAACGCACTCCTAAACAACTTCAGGGCAAAGCCAGGCTTGTGGCTCAATAGTAATTGCTATATAAACATTTCGTAGTTATATTTCATTAGAGAACATTTTGCCACAGGTTAGAAAGGGAGCGATCGTCTTCTCGAAAGCCCGGTAAAAAGCCCACGCGTGTGAGGGAGTCAACGTATCGCTCAATAATTCAACTCTCGTTATATGTATGACAGTAGTATTCCTAAGGCTACGAGGTCGAACAGAGCGCGCAGGAAATTTGAAATAGTTTAAAACAGTTTACGAGTTATTATATTACTTGATATTATTGATTGATTCAGCTTGATAAGGCAAACCGAGCTTCTGGGCTTCTATAGAGGCTTCGCCACTGTGTCCTAGAAACAATGCCGCCACACTCAGTCTTCGGCTTTGACAGTTGGCTCTTTCTGGCAGACAGATCTCTGGCAAAGACTTTGGAGCCCTGGTCCCGCTCTACGCTTCTTCAATACTAGCTGTATTTATTTATTTTATTCTTTATTGCATCCTTAAACAAAAGAATACAAAGGGCGGACTTAATGCCTTGAGGCATTCTCTACCAGTCAACCCATGGAGTGGTGAGAATTTGATGTAGGTGTGGCAATAAGAGAACACTATACAAATATTATATACAAACACTATACAAACACTATACAAATATAATACTGAAGTTGCGTAAGTCCTGCCGCATGCATTTGGAGATCTGTCTGCTCAGTTGCATGTATGCTGTCAAATCTGCTGACAACTGCAGCTTCATCTTCCGTCTAACAGCAATGAGATTAAGAGTGTGATCGGTGAATTTTTGTGTTCTTCTGCGGAGGGTCTTGCAGAACTTAGCTCCGATCGCATGGACAGTTTCCACGAGCTTGTCATTCATATCGTCCACTGTATTGCAGTCATTTATGCACTGAAATCAGTTTTGCAACTCGAGGTTTGGGATACTGGATTAGAGCACGAGGGAGACGGAGCGTTGACTTCATTAGACGAGACCTCTTTAATTTTATGTTTAGGTTCAGTGTACCTCTAACCATTCGGTGATAGCTGCCATTTTCACCCTCGCCATCACTGAGACATCACTGAAAAGTTGGCGTCTGGTCGTTATAATGAAGTCAATCTCATTTTTTGTCGAACCGTCGGGGTTTCGACCAGGTCCACTTCCTGTGGGGCCACTTTTGGAAGAAAGAGTTCATCATAATGAGTCCCTTTTTCTCCATAAAGTCGGCCAGCTGCTGACCCCTTGGGTTCCGTTGCCCTATTCCGAATTTCCCTAACTTCAGCTCACCGCTTTTTCGTTCCTAATTTAGCGTTAAAGTCTCCCATCAAAACCGTATAGTGGGTTTTGTAGGAATGCATTGCTCTAGAGATACCCTCCTACATTTCCTTCACCTCCCCATCAGGATGTGCCAAGGTAGGTGCGTAAACCTGTATGATCTTCAGCGAATACCGTTTGGTGATTCTGAGTATTAGGTACGCGACCCTCGTTGACACACTCTCAATCTTTACAAAGTTGTTGACGAGAGACTTGTGGAGTATAAATCCGACACCTCCTTGGGACAGATGGTCGTCCCTCCCGGTGATAGGACAAGTTGCGTGTCCTCCCTCTCTTCGAACCTAGGATAATCCTATAATATGCCAGCACAACTTGTCTACCTCTTCTTTCAGCTCCATTATCTTCTCGGCAGTCTTCAGGGTGCGTGCGTTATATGTTGCCAGGTCGAATTATCGTAGGTGGCAACTGAACCTTCACCGGAGATTTTTAGTACCCCCTGCCTTGCCGTTATCATAATCACCACCGTAGCCAGGAACAGCGGGCCGCGCGGGGACTGGGGGCCGTTTGTTTGTGTCGTTGCTTATTGGGGGATGTTTGCCATAGTTGCCAGTCCTGGTTAGCGGGTTGGCAACCGCAGTCTTTTATTGCGTAATTGTTGTTATCAGGAAAATGCTGCTACGCATCTCCTGCCTGTCTCCTTCTGTCGCCTCTTACGACACCCACGGGAAGACTTGGGGCAGTGGATTTTCTCAACCGCCACTACACGGTAAACGGCTACGTTTTGATGCCTTTTTCGGTTTCCTCGAAAAATGAATCAAAACGTAGCAGGCAACTATGTATACGAAAGGCTCATGAAGAGCCTTGTGTTGAACCTTCCATGCATCTCCTCCTTTTATACGGTTACTCGGTCGGAAATGCTCTGTACTGCTGGGTCTGGCCATTGCTCGTTGGCTAAGGTGACCGAAGTAATTATGGAGGCACTCTTCCCGATTATGCATGTGTTTATGCGTGAGCCTAAAAAGCCGCACCCACCATGTTTTTGCAGCAAGTAAAGCCTCATTACTGACGATTTCGTGTGACACATCCTGTGGGACATCATAACATTGCGGACTTTTCTTTCCAGAGCGTTCAGTTCGGTCTAAGGCCACCTGAGTATGCACGAGGACAGGCGTGTTATTATTATTAGTAGTAGTAGTATTCAAATTATCTTATTATTTATTTATTCTAACCGCTTCAGCTATCTTAATTACTATTTAAAAAACAAACAGGGGTGACTTTACGTATTCTCTGTCAAATCCTTGTCCTAAGGCAAGGGAGTTCCGCTGGAAACCATACTGGACCTTCTCATATTTTTAATATATTTATATAAAAAATTAAATCTAGTAATAGTACATATAGCTTTTCGGAACTAAAAATATCAAATGTATGCACAGTACCTACAGGTTTATTTGTCATTTGTTCCAAGCTAAACTAATTGGGCAGGTACTCATGTACTTCATCTAGCAAAATCAAAATAAATAATTAATTCAAAAAGGTCAGTGATATGACCATAGTCACTATTACAGCCTATTAAAGTTTACTACTGAAAATAGGCCTCTCCCATAGATTGCCATATAAGGAATGTATTTTCCGTAGTTTTCAAACTAGGAAAACGCTACTGCTCAACTCCTTGGTTATTTTCTGGTTTATTTTTTTGTTTATTTACTGGTTTATTTCCCTCTGTCGCTTCTCGACACTTACGAAATAATATGATGCAGTACTAGCAGGTATAAACTTACAAATAATCCTGTTATTTGTAAACTTGGAAAGACATTTAGCAACAAAAACCTTGTTCTGTCTGTATTTCGGAAGACAGTAAAGGGTGTCATAAAGGATAAAAATCAAAATATTGTTGGTAAATGAAACGCTTTGCTTTGCGCAACACATCCCCTTGATCACACTTAATTCTTTTTACGCACTAATACCAGATGCGTTAATTTTTGAGCTTAAATCTATGCATTAAGCTCTCCAGCTCCGTCGTACTCTCTAGTTTAAACTATGTAGAAACGGTAAGGCTTATTTGGAAAACTGACCGAATTATTTAGTTATGTACGACAACTCAACACCCTACGATATCAAACCATCAATTATGTTCCGATTTGCCTTTGATTTGTTTACAGTAATGAAGATTGTCAGCGCATTCGACCTCAACAGCAATGCAGCAAACCTCGTATCCACGGGCATAGATGAAATCAATGTGATGCATGGTATCCGATTTTTATCGACTTGCATCGTTGTGTTTCTTCACGTGATGTCTATTTATATAATAGCCAGAGCTGGAAATGCCTTAGACATGAATGACGTAAGTTTTTTATTGTTTTAATTAGGACTACCTTTTGTGTATACATGTTCAAAAAAAGATCATGATATTTTACTCAAAAGACATTATGTGATAGGACTTTTTGCCTTTTCTATTTCTGCCGCTAACTAACATTTTACCAACTGTTGTCTTCCAATTAAAATGACAAGAGGAATAGAGCAGTTACTGGGCATAAGTCTTTTTTATTCCTTAGAGGTAGCAACGCTGCAGGTCCAGGTACTGTCCGTAGGCTGCAACAGTTACTTCCCATCAGGTGGACTGTAAGCTCGTTTTCACACTAATATTATAAAAATAAGAATGTCTCACGCTGTATGTTACTATTGTTTTTCACTTCTTAACAATATATTCAATTCTTACGGCACAAAAATTTAAAAAGAAAGTGTACTATATACTATACTTTATTTTTTATATGTTTGTGCCTTTTCTTAAAATAATTTTAAACTCCGCATGAGAGCTTAACTTTGATTAAGACACTTGAAATAGAACCCAATGGATATTCTTAGTTTCACTGCTTGATTTAAATTCTCTTAGAATAGATCATTTTTGTGTTATATTTTGGCCACTACTGTAAGAGTACACATATTTGTTTGATTATTTAAAGATATTCCAACAGTAGACACTTAAAGCAAAAAAGGGTATTCGTGTAACAGCTGCTATGTACAATTTTGCCAAATGAAGGCACTATGGTATTACATGGAGAGCAGTAAATCTAGGAAAAAAGAAAGAAGAAAAGACATTTTATAATGACACGGACCTGTGAATATGAGAACAATATAGAAATGTATAACGTAAATATACGCAGATTCAATAAATTTGTCTTCATTATTCGAAACTCTATCCTCCAAACCAGGAAAGCGCAGCTGTCAATTTTGTTAGCGAATTCATTCAATCTCGACGTGACTTTGCTAATACCATCATGTACCAAACCAGCGAGGTTGCGTCTCATAGTGAGCCAATCGATTCACCGACTTATAAGCTGGCATAACACAAGACAACTCCAGAGCACACACAAAGGATTCATACCATTTTGTTAGTGAGATAAAAGACTTACATATCGCTGACAGTAAAAGTATGGTCATTTTTGATGCTCAGTCACTATTCACATGCCTACCTGTTGAAGACTGCATCTCAATTGTAACTAGGAAGCTAGAAGAAAACAACATGCCCGCTGAATATGCAATATTACTCAACCACTGCCTCACATCTGGCTATCTATTGTAGAAGGAGGAGTTCTACAAGCAAGTAGATGGCGTAACGTTGGGCTCACCTGTATCTCTCATAGTAGCCGACATAATCATGAAGGACTTTGAGGAGAAAGTCTGTCTTGCTGCTCACTGCTGACACTTTCACAATTTACCACTTGACAAAGTAACTGCATTTTTAGACCACCTTAACTCTATAAAGTCTGAAATACAATTCACAATGAAAGGAGAGGCAAATAGTTCTTTAGCTTTCGTAGATGTTTTACTGTTATACTGTCTATGGGAAAGAGGCCCATACCAACAAATATTTAAATGGTGAATCTCACCATCACCCTTGACAGTTAGCTACCGTGGGTAAATCTCAGTTTCTTAGAGCACAAAGGATCTATGTCATAACACATCTAGCCGCCGAGTTTCAGCACATCAAGGAAGTATTGCAAGACTACAAGGTTTGGGTCCCACACCTACGTTACAGTGACCGACCCAAGCCGGCCATAGTCGAGCGTGTGCCTGCTGTACTACCGTATGTCAGAGGAGTCACAGACAAGGCTACATCTTGAAGCGAGCTTCCATTAAAACATGCTACAAGCCGCCGAAAAAGATTAGTCAATTTTTGCCATCCATCAATATTCCTCTACAAGATAAGGGAGGGTACAAGTTAGATTGTGAATGTGATCTCTCTTACAACAAACAAGTCAAAAAAAGATCCATAAAACCCGCGGAAAAGAACATATAGCTGACGTGAAGTACCGACGCTTCGGAAAGATTGTCCTCAATTGCCCCTTACACCGCATATCTCAAGCTTATTTATGAGTTTTGCATGATCTACAAAGTCAAAGGCCTTTGACATATCCATGAACATTGCATAAGAAGGTTATCCAGCATCCACTCCTGGGTATATCATAATTGAAAATTCATAGATAGTTAGGTTTATTGACAAGATAGGAAAGAATATCTTTCGGAATCCTTATTAATCAGCAGTGAAGATTTTGTTGTGTTCGAAGTAAATATATAATCTATTATATCGAGCCTTTTCAATTATTTTAGAGAATGTAGGCGTTAAGGCTATTGGTCTATAATTATCATATCACATTTAACTTCTCTTTTATGGAGGGGTTTAATTATTGTAGTATTTAATATTGTTACGAGCTTAGGGTTCGTGATAATAAAAACTGCCGATTGAATTACCAAAATTGACACTTTAATTACCAAACACCAATTAAGACTTAAAACACACTAATAATTAATCACGCTTAACACATTAGTTCACTTTATTTCGCTCCGAAGCTTCGCTTGTATCGCCAATTCAATACTGTCCCGGTTGCGCTCCTTACCGACTTTACTTATAATAGTATATTAATATAATTTTATTGACGTAACAACGACTTTCGCTAAAAACAGCTATGAGGCGACTGTGTATAATGCTTTCCTACAGTGCGTCGGCACTCATATTCTTTCTATTCTATAATTACTCGAATTTTTAGCGTATCCATAACGATTACTATTCATATCAATTTGATATTTTTACGCACACACACACACACACACACACACACACACACACACACACACACACACACACACACACACACACACACACACACACAACACACACACACACACACACACACACACACACACACACACACACACACACACACACAAACGATTCGATTTTCGAAAATTAATAACTTCCCGATTTTTTTAAAAATCGTTGACTTTCATAGCGGAAAGTTAAAATATGTTTTTTTTTAATCAAGTTATTAACTCATTTATAGGTCAAAACTATGTTTTAGGGTTTTATACAGTATGCAGGCTTCCTATCGCACGGAAGTGTTGTTATAGATACTTTTTTCATGATGTCCGGACTTCTTCTGATGAAGAATTTCAACTCGGAGACAGGGAGATTGATAAGTCCATTTAAAATATTGTTCAAACGGTATTTCAGGTATGAATTATACATTTTGTTTATAGAATAAGGGTGAACAAGAGAGCACACAATTCACATTATGGTAAGTGGACGTTGTGGCCCATAGACAACTATATTTATCCTCAATTAAGAAACAAAATGCTAAAATTGAATTCCTCGTTTCCAGTAAAGAAAGGTCTCCAGTTCTATATACTTACCCTACGGATCACAGCAGCATAAAGCTGCTCTTTTACGCTGGTATTCTGTCAGTGCGTGGTCCCCCATAAACCCCTCGTCGGGGTCCGACGACCCCGGAACTATAAATTCTATTTATATTCTAAAACAAGAATTATTCAATTAGTCCCGGTCTCATTACCTGCTGAACATAGGCCTCCCCATAGATTGTCTCATGAGAGGGAAGTAAAGTGTGTCCACTCGTGGGCACTTCTCTCATTTTTAGAGCGTTTTAGTGCAAAAAAGTATCTATCGCACATCCTCAAAACAAGTTGGCAAACTTCACGTGCCTTCGAAATATTTTTTCTTAATTCTACACATAGAGTTTCCTTAGAACATACATATACAGTTTCCTTAGAATGTTTTCCTTCACGTACAAAACGTGTTAAATTATCATTTAAAATTGCAATTAATAATTTAATTGGTGCTAGTGGGAACCGAATCCAAGTCGCTCACGTACAAGGAAATTTATTTCAAACGATATAATATGCCCCTGAGATACTACTACTAAGTCAAATGTTTGCCATACTAATCACGCTAGGCTAGGCTAGGCTAGGCTATTGGAAAAAAGCTGCTGCCCATCTCCTATTTAAGTTACCTTCTGTCGCCTCTTATTAAAACGCCACCTAGTGGTGATAGATTTTACATTAACATAATTCAAAAGCAATTAGTAAATCATAGGACTCTCGCGTACCCATGCATGGCGTAGAAGGCGACGACAATCCTCGCGACTACGGATGCCTTTATAGGTCCCACAGCGGTAATGCCAACACAGACCGGCTCATCGACTACGTTCAAATGGCTGCAGACTGAATGCTACAACACGTCCCATCCGCATAGATCGTGATCCTCGGTGATTTTAACGCCCACCTTGGTGAATGGCTTGGTTCCCGTTTAATCGATCATGCGGGGAGATCTTTTTATTAGTCTGCCTTGCCTATAGTCCCAGACTATAGTCTGACACTACTGGTTACTTCGCCTACGTGGGTCCCAGACGTGGAGGAATAGGTATGTACCTTTCTCTGTTGGATCTTTCTGATATCAGGGGGAGACCCTTGGCTCTTCAGACCATTGTCTGATCCAGATTACTGGCTTGTGAAAATAAAATAATTTTTTTTACATCCGTGCCCAACATATAATTGAATGATTATAATATACAACCAAAGCGTCAAAACTAACACAATAGCTTTAGCTTAGAATCACATTTGAAGTTTTATTGCAGGCTAATATGGGTCTATATTGTCACAATCTTAATATCTGTCACTGCTTCATCTTACCTTTACGGTGGTCCATTATGGTTTAAATACGCAAAGGTGGAGCAGGATGTATGCAAGAAAAATTGGTGGGTGGGATTGCTAATGTTGGGCAACTACATCGACTCATCAAATATTGTAAGTTTAATGATATTGGTGACAGGATGTAACGTTTCAATTTTAACCAAATATTCTTTAACTTTCAGTGCATTTTAGTAACGTGGTACGTACCAGCCGATTATCACTTGACTGCGGTTAGTACTGTTATGTATTGGCTGTACCAGAAAAACCTTCGGGGTGGTCAGTACTTATTTGGAATTGTTACAATCGTTTCAATAATACTACCTGGGCTCAACACGTACTTAAAACAGCTGCATCCTATAACCGTATTTGATTTTGAGTAAGTTTTCTTATTTTTAGTAATACAATCATGGGCAAATTTAGAGAAACGCAATAAAAAAGATTATTTCTCGTGTCTTAATTCGTTTGTAATCGTGGGTTGTGGCCGTATACATTTGTAAATCCCATTAAAAAATAAAGTTTTGGAATGTATTTCTTTCGAATTCCATTTGTTTTATGTAATTATTGTGTAATATTGCGTCCTTTCATACTATGAAAAATTTACCAACCTTTTAATTTGAGCTTAATCTTAGATTATAATATAATAATAAATGTTATTTAACCTCTCTAACACCAAGCGACCAAATTTGACCGCTTCGATATTCCGTCAAAATTCAAGCGGTCAAATATGATCACACCCACTCACAGCACTTTAATCCATAAAGACTTATATATAGAGACTACTTTTCTATAAAAAGTTTAGCATTATAGAAACAATATGAAATTTTTTATCTTCTAGTGCAATAAAAAGTTAGTTATCTTAAAGATATTTATTTATAATCTACGTTCATTTCGTACGCCATTTTCACGTGAATGTTATTGTGTTGATTTTTGGAGTTTTCTTGTGTTTTATTAGTGTTTTAGTATGGTGTTTTATTACAAAATTGTAATAAATGTTTTTATGTGAATATAATTTATCTTTTTACCTGAATAATTTTAAGTAGTATATAGAAATAATTGTGATTTTCACGCTGCCGACATTCGCTTGATATGTTTTTTTTTCTGTTGTTAAAATACAATAAAATCTTTTTGTAATGAAGTGAAACCTGACTTTCGTTTAAACCACTGGATAGAAAATTTTGTATAGATTTTGTATTACCAAACTTCTTCATAGAAAAGTAGTGTCTAAATATAAGTTTTAGTGGTTTTAAGTGATGTGGGTGGGTGCGATCGCATGCGACCGCTCAGGATTTGCCGGGCGCATGCGACTGCATGGGATATTTATGGGGATTGAAGGGTTAAATGTTTGCCTTGACTGTCATATGATAAATAAGTTGTTTCTAGTGTACATTTTTACTGCAATTTAACAGAGAATTCCTGATCTAAATACCACTCAAGTTTCTAGGGCTGTTACCTTTATTGAAATTGGGCATACTTACAAACATGTGACCCAAACATTACGAGTATCAAAATATGTGGTACACCGAGTTGTTATGAGGTATCGGCTGACGGGACAGTATACGATTCTCGCAGGACAGGAACGTAAACGGAAAAATGTGGTCTAAGATGACCGGTTCATCGTTACCAGTGTGCTCAAAAACCTAACCTTAACTTCTTCTGATGTAAAAACAAAACTCCAAAAAGTTCGAGAGGTTACAGTAAGCACAAAAACTGTAAGAAAAATTATTAAATCGGCCGTAATAAACACATACTTATCCGTCAGAGGCTTCTGTCCCCATGCTATCGAGTAGCTCGAGTTAATTTTTCTTGCAATGACAAGAGTTTTAATGATGAAACTTGGAGTCAATTAGTGATATATTAGTTAAGGAACTCCACGTCATTGAGAATGCAGCTAACAGCGGCACGATATGTAACTGAGATTTTGGAAGAAATTGTAGTGCTATTTGAACCTTTTATATTTGTTTTTATGCATGATAATGCATGCCCTCATTCTGTGGCCTCATCGCGGCCTTAGCTGTCGAATATGTTTGAGACGTTGAAATCATTGTTATGGGGTAGCCAGCGCGCGCCCGACATAACCCCCAACAGCATGTATAGGATAGACTTAAGAGACAAATTAAGAAGAGAAATCATGCCCCCACTAATTTGAGACATCTTAAAAACGCATCAGAAAGAATGGAACACAATCTCTCAAGATTTTAATAATAACTTGATTAGGATGTACCTTCAGCTTTTTAATTATTGTCTTTGGTCCGATCTACGCAGAAATGGAGGACCAAAGACAATAATTAAAAAGCTGAAGATACTCCGGGTTAACTTTGACATCGGGACGTCTGTCACCTCAGTCCCCCGTGACCATGAGTGCTGGAAAGCACCCGAAATGTCAGGTATTAAAAATAAAATAAATAAAAACGCGATAAAATCCGTAAAAGTAGTTTTAATCAATGTATAGTTGTCGCGTTAATATAAGAAATCATTATTTTTTCTTAACTTGTTTTTTAATTTAAATTAACAAATAGTTCTTAGCGAAAATACTCGCGGCTTAAATAAATGTTATCAGCTGGGTGACGCGCTATTTTATAAACGAAACTCGACTCTCAAGTACACAATAAGTGCGCGCTAAAATTTGACAGCAGGGGGACCGTGAATTGTGATCGTGATTAAAGTAGCACAAACCATGGAGTTTAAAATATTTTGATAGAAATTAATTACTACGATGAAATAGAGTGTACAATAAAGATATTTCACGGACAAAATCGTTTACTAAAAATTTAAATAAGGGATGCCTCTTATCCTTTTGAGTTACCATCCTTTTCAGACGCGTTTTTTTATAACATCGAGTAAGCATAAATTAAATTATAATGCGATATCAGTGATGTTATAAGTAAACAAGCTAAGGATTTAAAAAAATTTGCAAGAGTTTTATGCAAGCAGATTTTGTTTGGTTTCGTTTCTTTTTTGACACAAATGGTGTCGCTTTCATGCGTTAGGTAATTTGAACATAAAGAGTAAGATAGCAAACATTTAATTCGTATTAGAAAAAGTACCTGGATGACCGAGCTTTCCTCGGTATTTTTTTGGAAATCATATGTTTTGGAAATTATATTTAGATAAAAATTACATACTAATGAAACATGTATAATATTTTTTGATCTTAGTGACAAAACTGAACTGGTTATTTGAATAAAAAACATGTGTTTAAGTAGTTTAATTTAAATTTTCTTATCTTTAAAAAAATACTCAAAAAGATATAGATAGATATATAGATTTTCTCACAAAAGAAGGGAACTTGAAAAAAAAAAAGGAAAAAAAGTCGGACCAAAGACAGGACGCGAACCAGGGCACTACGATCTCGCGACGGCCCGATATCCACTTGAGCTATTACGATCACAGACACAGTGTCAAAGTTTACCTTCTTATATAGTAGCAGTTTTTCATTGCCTAAAAACATGGACAAAATGACATTTTCCAAAAATAAATCCTAGCTAGTTGGAGCCGTTTCCGAGATTCCAATTTAAATATATATATATATATATATATATATATATATATATATATATATATATATATATAAGAATTGCTCGTTTAAAAGTATAGGATACATACACAATAGTTTGAACAATATAAGGCGGTCTTAAGTAGAAAACAACTTTATAACGTGAAATATGATAGATTATATTATATATAACTGACATTGTTACGAAATCGTTCATGAGATCAAGCTCTCAAATCATAAAACACTATCCCAAGTACAGCGTCTTAAGAAGTCGCATTCGTAGTTCAGGAACGTTTATTAACACGGACCATATCGCCTAAGTCATTCTACGAGTGCTAATATAGTGTCGTGGAGAACCAGAAGGACAGAAATCCGTCGTGATGGTTCTTCTGGTGCAAGCAGGGAGGATGGTGTTGCTGAGAGAGCTGCTTATTTATTCCTTTGTTCTATTAATTATTAAGGTTATTTATAATTCCTATTGTAGGACAATTGAAGATATTCGTAAATACATAGGGGGCTCACCGATTTATGTACAGAGTCACTTGCGAGCATCTTCTTACTTCGTAGGTGTAACAGCAGGTTACATCATCTCCGTTTATAAGCCAACCAGCTACAGAAACGTACTACCATTGGTATGGTGAAATTAATCAATTACTATTTTTTTTCAATTTTGACAAGTAATTTCAAGATAATTTGACACATTATATGATATATATGTGCAAAACCCATACATATATACTAAATTTGAAAGTACTTCATTAGATAAAATGACCACCTGATAAATCATGAGAGGTGGACCGGGCTTGGCCTTCAGTTGTCTATCCAGCTCTAGGCAACGTATTAGCGATTTTTTTAAACCTATAAGATCACTCTAGCAATTGAAGTTCAAACGGTTTGTTCAATTATATTTCCTTATTCACAGAAATCATTTTTTACAGAAATATTCAATACTTAGTTTCATCACAATTATGGCGCTATCTGTAACAATATTGGTCATGGGGCCAGCGTATCGATTCCGTGAATACAATGTCATAGAATCTTCATTCTTTGCCGCATTTAATAGACCCATTTGGGCTGGTCTTATGGCAGCGTTTATATTACTATGCGAATACGGAACCTTACGTAAGTATTTTCTGAAAGTAGAGAGTAAAGTAAATGTAAAAAGGTAAAAAAAAAATCTTTATATGTCACACTACTGGGCACGGGCCTCCTCTTTCTAATTCTCATATTACTGAGAGGGTTTTATGTCGAGAAGAAATTATGTTAACGAAAACGTAAGTTTTCTATGCAACCTGCCTAAACTTGCTGTTCATAAGTACATACCATAGTACAGGCTCCAAAAACTTTCGGTTCGACCTTAGGTAGATGTATTTACAACAAGTTACAGGTACAGAACATACTCGTAGGTTAGGTATTTATAACAAGATTTTCCGTAAAAAACATTTGTTATACTTAAAAAAATAAAAATGCTTGGACGTATGAGCTTTCTTAGATTTTCTTGATTTTGATGTTTATAATATAAATATAATATTTAATATAGGATTAATAGTTTTTAAATTTAATATAAAATAATCAAAATACTGTTTGTCACTTACTTCCATATCATAACTGCGTTTTGTTTTTTTGACTAATTTTTATCTAAACCATTGATATATTGATATATCGTCTTATACTTTCTTCGAAAATTATATTATAAGGTATGAAATTTGTCCAAATTATTAATTTAATATATTTTTATATTCAGTAATATTGGCGTCTAAAGAAATATTGTACGTCACTGCTTTCATAAAATATAATATTTTGTAACCTATGTGCATATAAATAAGTAAAGTAATTACGGTTTGTGAGTTATTTCATTTAAAGTTTGCTATGAATTGCAGCTCGTACCGACTGATAAATTGTAAGATTTTTTATCTTGGAATGCTAGATTGAATCCGAAAAAAAAATCAAAAATTCTGATTGTGTGAATGTCTCTACTTTCTAGCTTACATTACGGAATTCTTAAGCTGGTCGGCATTCGTGCCCCTAAGTAAGCTCTCCTACGGGATCTACATGTGCCATTTCTTCTTCGTTATGAGGCTAACGCTAAATTTGCGTAGTCCGGTGTGGTATGACTTCTTCAAAGTTGTAAGTTCAATATTATTTATTACATATATATACTACTTTACTACCTTTATATTATTAAGATTGCTTCCTATTTACAAATGTGCGTGGACTTAAGTTTGAACTTTGGTGAACTAAATCTTTGTACAACAGCGTAAATTTTCAAGCCTATATAACGCTGATATTACTTCACTACTCTAATGTTACTCTTAACGCTTGTTGTACTATAGTAATACCGTAGTACTATAATATGTACAATATTATAATCGTTATATCAGACAAGGTTAGGTTGAAACGTACAAGTATCTTCGTGTTGTGCACTTATGGTACTTTAATATCTTCTGCGTACATTACTGCAGTATTTGAAACTGCACGGCTTGCCAGCCTAAATTAATAACTTAAGTATTTTTGGCCCTTACCACAAGAATCACGTATGTTTTATTTTCAGCTACAAGATTCGAAGGGCAGTGTTGTGATATCTTGTCTGCTGAGTTTGTATATAGCATTGTTTATTGAGTCGCCATTAAACAATTTAGTGGCTCTTGTACTGAGAACTAAGTAAGTTAACTTGTGCTAAGTTATAAATGCATTAATAATTTATACAAATATTTTAATTTATGATTGAAATCTTTGATATGTTACTGTAGTATATACTTGCAAAAACTATTGTTAAAATAAAACAGTGAAGTTAGAGCTATTATCCGTCCTACTGCTGGTTCTTCTCAATTCTAAAAGCGTTTTCAAGAAAAAAATTTTTGTCGCACAACTCCATTGTGTGTACTCCAATGTGTAAACGGACATAACATCGTTATACATTTTTAATTAATTTCGGAAGCATTTCTAATGCTTTACTTCATCTGCGAGCTAGTGGTTATACATCAAAACTTATATTCTGTAATTAACAATTTCGTTGGTAACCACGGAGCTCCAATTAGGATTAAACATAACGTATTTATTAAAAAGTTAACTAATTTAATCATAAGTATTATTTTCTAGGCCACCAAAACCGGTAAAAATTAATACTGACAACAGCGACACGGCGACTCATAAAATTGATTAATTAAAAGATATTAAGAAAATAGTATCAACAAAGTAGCTACTGTAGAGGAAATCTGATTTGTGTTAAGAAATGATGAATTCGTAAATGATAATGCTACTCTACATTTGCGTGGTGAAGGCAACAGTGGATATAACACAAAAGGGTGTGAAGAATTCAATAAGATTAGAATAGAATCACAAAATTGTACTACAAAAAAAGAGGTATCGATAAAGGACTTATATAAACTATACTAATATGACTATATACTACAACTATATCAATATGACCACAATTACTGCGAACACTGGCACTAATAGAATATTATTAAACCTTGCCTTACTGTATGATTTGAATTTTTTATTAATTAATAAGAACAGCGAGAACAAAAAAAATTGAACTATATTTTTTGTTTAATACTGGTACACTTTAAATATTTTTAAAAATATAACAATATTATTATGGTTAAGAGTTTTACTGCAACATATGATACCTTACATAATTTAACACACTTGTAGACTTGCGACCAACTCTGGTTTCACCTGGATAGGATTTATATTAATCATTAAAAACCATTTGTTTTATGCATTTCTTAATCAATCAAAAAATCCATTTTTTTTTTTGATAAAATATAGGTTATATTACTTCTTGAATAGCTTTCTATCTGTTCGCAAAGATTCATTACAATCAGTTCAGCAATTGTAACAAAACTATTTTGTGTTTGTTTATGTTTTTACATCTTTTTCTTCCATTTGTTCACGTTTTAATTCAAAAATGTTATTTTTCACTTCAACGCCATTTCAGAGCAAAATGTATATATGAGTGCTAAAAGATAAGTTGATGAGAGCTTTTTACGTGAAATAAATAGATCTAGCATTTCATCTGAGTCTTCAGGTGTGACAACAGGTGTATCTGTATTTTCACTTTTAATCGAGAAGAGATGTAGACGTTTATGAGGCACAGTGTCCAATCACTATCAGGTAGAATATAGTTCTTATTATAAGCTTTTCCCATTTATTACTTACTTTACAAGACAATAGTTGAAAATTAATTATATAACGTGGTAGAGCCACGCTGCAGCTATATTGGTAGTATAGTTGTAGCACGAATGGGTCGGCTCGACCGGGGTAGGACTACGCTCTCACATAATACCTGCGTAAAATAGTAGCTTAATGCTGCTGTGTTTTGTATGATGAGTGTAGAGATCCGGAGACCCTTTTTACTGAAAACGAGATATTCCATCTTAGTCTTCACGGGTGCCAAAGCATCTGCATTTTGATTTGTAATCGAGGATAGATGTAGATGTCTATGGATCATAGCAACCCCTTACTATCAGGTGGACTGTGTGCTCGTTTGTCACCCTATCCTATAAAAAAACATAGTGAATTAGTGTTATTTTTATAACTATATACTTGCCTAAAAATACTTATACACTCTGATAGATCTGCAGGTTTTAATTTTGCGGAAACGAAATCGTGGGTTTAATCTAGTATAAAATATAATATAGGCTTGTAGAGTTTATCGTTCTATTCCGAACATGTGGTGATAATAAGGTTTGATGTGAGAATAAGAAATGAATTATAGTTAATATTAAAACAATAAATGGAAATAAAAAATAAAATGAATAAAAACGAGTTAGTAACTTTATAGAATATTAATAACTCTTGTTAAAACAATCGAATAATGATAAAAACCATGCAGAAGAACAATAAAAGTAACTTATATCGTTAGGAGAAAGAATTAGAACTGTGAGTGACTATATGTAACATCCACTGATTTAGAATTTATATCAGCTAAATACCGTGCATATAAAATAAATTGTATATCTGTACCATATGATAAACTGGCTTCTTTCAAGGTCAGATAATTATTTGCGTACTATTAAGACAAGAATTCCATTTTTAAAATGTCTATCAGTCTGCCTGTATCTCCGGTATAATCTTTTGAACAACCGAATCGTTTCCGATGAAACATCTCGAAAAGGAAGATAGCAATTTCTGGAGTAGAGTTTTGTTTTTGTTTTGGGAAATCGAAAAATTGATCAAATAAATTACTCCACATTTTTTTATAGAATAAGGATGACAAACGAACACACAGTCCACCTGATGGTGGTCATGTGGCCCATAGACATCTACATTTATCTTCGATTAAGAATCAAAACGCAGATGCATTGTCACCCCTGAGGACTAAGATGGAATGCCCCGTTTCCAGTAAAAAAGGGGTCTCCGGATCTCTACACTCACCATACGATACATAGAAGTATTAAGCTTCTATTTCACGCTGGTATCCTGTGAGAGCGTGGTCCTACCCCGGTCGAACCGACCCACTCATGTTATAACCATAATTTAGCTACAGCGTGGCTCTACAACCACATTAATAGACCTCACTCAGTCGAAGTTGGGGCTTGTCGCTAGTTAATAAATAGTATTCAATATTGAATTATTATTTATTTACATTTGTTTATTAGTTTCCATTGTATCACGGCTTACGTAACATAAAGAAGGATTGCCATTGTCGTTAAAATTCATAAACGATAAAATCACGTATATAAAAAGGGTTCGCACACATGTGTTCAAGACACGTAATAAAACACGCTTTATTGCACGGAAATGATGTATTCGTAGCTGGCATTGAGTGCATATATTAAAAATATCCTATCTTTTGTGTTCGTGCGCTTAACTTTTAGGGTTTCCATGAGGTAAAAAGACCGATATATGAAAAATTGACAATTTGTTTTTAAATATGTGTATACACCTAATGGCGACTTGTTGGCGAGTTGACGATGGGAAAGAAAGTAAATTAGATCTAAGGTTGCGTCTTACTTGCATCAATTAGTTTAAGTCTTGTCTATTCTTACACTTACATAATTTATTAAAAGTCACCGAGTCTTTACATCTCGATTATAAGGGATAACGGTACTATATCATATAAACGTAAAGATTAATTTCTATACATCATTGTAATTTCTATTGGAATATCAATCTTCGGGAATATTCTCGCGCTAGTGCTACCTGCTTGCCAAGCGTACCAACTATGTCAAATATTTTGTCCATAAAAATAACAATAATTTCAAGAAGATTAATGATACATATACCATAAATACATGTAACAAAAATAAATTATACCTTCCACAGTCGCGAACAAAAATGAACACAAGCCCCAACTATATATGGCAATACAGATTTATAAATTAGCACATGTATTCAAAACATATGCAAATTAACCAAATTTCAATCAAATCTCAGTAAATATTTAAAACAAAACTCCTACTTAATGGGGGAGTATTTATAAAACAAAATATAATAACATAATATATTTTTATATTTATGTAGCTTCTAAGTATATTTTATATATTTTATGTATATAAGCAGTGTCCTCGTCAAATTTGCAGTACCTGAAAAGGGCGAATAAGTCGTAAGCACATTTTTAATTTAAGACCGATTATGTATACTTTAACAAATCAAATCTAATAAATGATTTGATTTGATCATTTCCATAAGAGGCAATCTATGGCGGCTTATGTTTTACAGTAGGCTTTTGATGAGTTGTAATGAGGTTGAACACCTATAATGAAAGCAGGGTTTGAAATATGTATATCAAATTTGTCAATTAGAGCTCAGCTAACTGTACCAAGCTACGGATCAGTCCACCTATGACAGACACAGTAAACTAATTTATGTTCCCAGAAAAGGCTTAAATTAATAACCGTAGAATTAAGGCTGAAAATTCGAATCAAGTTTTAGTGTCGAAGTTTCCTAAAATGTTTGATCACTGATTCAACAAGTCCCTAGGTCTATATTTACTTAGGACACATTGTAATGCACTTGTCCCACTGCCAACTGGAAGCGATTAGATATCGACACTTTTTCTCGTTCAAGACACAAACAATGGATATATGAAAATCCCGTGTCAATAAAAGAGATCAGAAGAAATCAAGGCTATAATAAAACATCTTAGCATTTCCTGAGTAATAATAATAATAATATTTACTGAATCCAAACATACTTTACATAGAAACAAAAAACTTATAAAATTACATTGACAAGACATAATCTAACTCAATACTATATTAACTTTAGGAACTGTGCTAGGTCACAGACCTGTGTTACAGCTGCTAAGCCCTCCCCATTAAATATACACCAAATAGAAAAACAAAAACATAAAACGATATTGTGTGTGTGTGTGTGTGTGAGTGTGTAATGTATGTGTGTAGAATATGTGTGTTTGTATGTAATTACGTGTGTGTGTGTGTGTGTGTGTGTGTGTGTGTGTGTGGGGTGTGTGTGTGTGTGTGTGTGTGTGTGTGTGTGTGTGTTGCATTTTGCTAAACAGTGCATTTTTACCTATCTATATTTAATAATTTCTCAGTTTCCTCATAAGATAAAGACATTAAAAACTTAGAGCTTGCTTACATTTAAAACCTGTTAGTGTATATATCGTTATAATGTTGCTAATTTTTTTATACAGATAAGGTCCCAAGAAGTTTATTTGTCTTTGAGCACAGAATGTGTAAAATTTATCTGGTAGTATAATTTGATCTTTCCTTCTTAATTTGGCGGTCCTATTTGGACAATTTCCCATAAAATAAGTTTCTAAGGTTAGATATTCGCTTTTTAGGGTTCCGTAGTCAACTAGGAACCCTTATAGTTTCGCCATGTCTGTCTGTCGTCTGTCCGTCCTCGCTTAATCTCTGTGACCGTTAGCACTAGAAAGCTGAAATTCGGTATCAATATGTGTATCAACCACGCCGACAAAGTGGCAAAATAAAAATTGGAAAAAAATTGTTTTATTAGGGTAGCCCCCCCTATATGCAAAGTGGGAAGTGATTTTTTTTTTAATTTCAACCCTAACGTATGATATATTGTTGGAAAGGTATTTAAAAATGAATAGGGGTTTACTACAATCATTTTTTGATAATGTCAATAATTTCGCAAATAATCGCTCCAAAAGTAAAAAACAATGTGTCCCCCCCCCCTCCAACTTTTGAACCATAAGTTTAGAAGATATGAAAAAAATCTAAAAAG